ACAAGTGTGTCAGTAACAATCTTGTTTGGTTCCCTCTCAGTCTCTGTATTTGTGCCAGTTCCTGTTATAGCTGAGGGAAAGTTAGATCAGTTCAGATGAAGCAGTTTAATTTTACTTTTTCAGACTGATTGCCAGAACTGATAATAACTGAGTGGACTGTTAATTCTTTCTGAGTCTGGCCAAGGATTTTGCATTTTTATAAATACATTTTAAAGCCTTTCAGCACTGGTCTGATTGTTTGCTTTAAATATTTCGTATCTCCTCAGTAGAATTTTTGGAGCAAGAGCTAACATTTTGCAAGGTATATATTTGCACAGCACTCAGTATAAAGGGTTCCTTACTTCCTCTTTAAGTGCAAAATCAAACTTAATGAAAATACATCATCTCAAGTCATGGATGAGCAGTTCTCTGGTCAGTCCATATAAGACAACACCAGAGGTATCAAATTAACTAGTCAGTGGCCATTTTCACAGACTTACCTCCCTCCTTTCTGAGAGATTTCATCACGTCCAGTCCAGAACTGAGATCTCAAATTTAGAAAGTACATGATGTATCTTGATAGCAATAATATGTTGAAATTTACATCATAGGCTAGATTTCTTATTTCATTTGGATTCAGTGGAACTATTTAGAACAGTTCCACATGTGAAAGTTGATGGGGAGGCTCTAGACTGAGCAGACATAAGATGGGTAAATGTGCTGACCTTATTATCAAATTCCTTGGTGAAGCTGCATGGGTTTGAATGATTGGTGCAACTGTTAATCATGGAGCAAGAAAAGATCACTAGGAAAACTTGTAATCAAGCCATGACCATTAGTGACACTAATAATCACCTTTCCCACTCCCCAAACCAGAGGTGTGTATCAAAAGAAAGACTGTGAGGCAAAGAATACAGTCAGATTTTTACAGAATTTTCAGCTGCCTTGGAGGTCCTAAAAATGGGTTCTTCTCCCAGGGATCATAAATTAACTTAATGAATGAAACAACTTTTCTAATCCCTTTAGTACTTTTCCCCCTTGATTTTATTTTATTTTGTAACTCTAGTTCTCTACTGTCAGGTACTTCTCTCTCATTTTTCCTTGCAGAACACATTTAAAAATCATTTATGTTTGTTGATGCTGTTGGAAACGTACTAAGTATTTTGGCCTGCAGGCAATGTTCAAGGTGCTAAGTAGATGGATGAAGACTAGGACCATGTGCAGAGGCAGACAAAGAAGCAAAATCTAAAAGCATCATTGGGAAAACACTGTAGAAAAGAGAGCTTATTAAGGATTCACAAAAATTCTGGAACTGGTGGATTGCAGAGAGAAAGGGTGGATCCAGTGTAGGCAAAAATGGAACCAGATTGCTGATGCTCCAAAGAGCAAAAGAAAATAAGAAGTTATGGAGAATTCTTCAAATGGGGAAAGCAATAGGTATAGAAAAGCATGTGGTTCAACTTGGTGTATGTGAAGGGATGATGTGAAAACAGCCTCATAAGCTACAAACAGGGATAGGACAACAAAAGACAAAACTGCAGAGAGTGATGCAGAAATAATCTCAGTTAAGTGCAACATGTGAAAATAGATGCTGAGACTGAGGCAAAATGCCTTCTCTAAAATGATAATATCCTGGAGAAACTAGCATGGGTGACCTGGTCATGAATCAGGATTGATAGTATATAAGCACCTCAGAAACTATGTGAAAAATAATCGATAGACATAGTCTTCTCAAGGTACGTTTTACAATAGGCAGAGTAGGTGATATGAATAGATGTCAAACAAACCATTAAGTCAGTCATCTGCACGCAGATATAACAGAGAACCTCTGTCAGTCATGGCTTTTCAGCTGGCTCTGTACATACTGAATTAATAGCAAGATGCAGGCTAGAGCAGGGACTCAGTATTTAGGGAGTGACTCAGATACACCCGAGTTAGTCATACATGCTGTCTTTATTATTAATAAAGAGAAATGATGTTTCTCATGAGTGCTTCCTTTCATCTTTGTGTGGTGGTCTAAAATGAAGTAATGAATTTCATTTTAAAGCAACCTTCTTTTCACTGATTTTAATGGAGTAACCAACTCAGATGCAGATGTCCACAGTACAGAAGTATAATACTGTGGTGGATGAATACCAGTTTAAATGTTCAACCACTGCATCCCATTCTACTGTGTTGTCTACATAAGCTACAAAAAAGTAAAGTGACTTAAGGTGACTCTCGCATACCCTTCAATACCTTCTAGGAGCAGCTAGTCAAAAAACTGAGATCAGAAAAACAGCTTTGGTTTAGCTCTGAGCAGTGGACCCAACCTCGTGCCAGATGTAAATACAGCCACTGTGTAATGGTGCACAAAGCATACACAAACCCACATTCCTTGACAGCATAATTCACAGCAGTAATATAATTTCAAGAATGGAACTACATAAAAATGAAGTGAAATAAAAAATAACAGCTCTGTGCATAAATCTTGTCAGGGAGATTTTTTGCTTTAAAGGCACATTCTGGAGCTTGCATTACAAAAAAAGTTCAGAAAAGACAGGAAGTCCTGGCATGGTTAAGTTGCAGAATAAAAGGGGATATTAGAAGTAAAAAGATAGTTTTCCCCAAATTTAGTCACATCTGAATTATTGAATTATAGAGGAAATAACGTTCTGGCAATTTCAAGAAATATAAAATCAAGATAAGGCAGAACAAAAATATTCTGAAGAGCAGCTTGATAAAAAAAAAAAAAAGCATTCTGATTCATATAAGTGTGGCTGAAGTTTTCTCCTGGTTTATTTTGATCCCACCTTTCATAAAGGCTGAGATCTGCTGCAGTCTAACAATGGAATTATGACAGAGTGTCTAAATATTGTTTGGAGAAAGATAACTCTGACGATTTCAGAGCCTCAATGCAGACCAGTGAATGATGTTCAGTTCCACTGGCAATCAAAGGAGAATCTCTTTTGCTAGGGCATTTTCTGATGGTTTTATAAATGCATAGAAAGGAATGGAAAAATATCTTAAGTATCCTCATCTTTATAGGAAAAGAAGGAAGGAACCACTTTTCTTGAAAATAAGGTTTCACTATTTTCCCCTTTAATTTTAAGCATCCTTCATAATAGCTCCTGAATGTGTCATCCAGGTAATTACAGGATTTATTTTAAAAATATTGCTTAAAAGGAAGCTGCCATAATTATATGCACCTGAAGCTTTTCAAGACATAAATTACTGGCTATACTCCTAATAAAAGGCAGACTGTCAAGAGGGGTCCCAAATCATTGGGTTAATGACTTCAGGTCAGCAGGCCTTTTAGAAGGTATAATTAATGTCTCTAGATAAAGGTATAGCTATAGTTTCAGTTGAGATTATTATTACGTATTAATTAGGACACAGAAAATCTGTGATGCCAAATCACATTTAAAACCTTCAGAAGCAGAAAAGAACTGTTATAATTTATATCTACCCTTGCTAAGGGCTGCGTGTCTAAGTTCTCCTGACTAGAATGAGTCTCCTGACTTTTTGCATCTGAGTTTTTTCTTTATAATTTCCTGTGTGATTCCTTTAAGCCAATAGATGCTTGGGAAGTTCATTCTTAACGAACAACATGTGAGTGACACTGATGGTGATTGCTCTGCTTGCCATGATATGCAGAGTGACATTTATATTACTTTGCAATGTATTGACTGCTCATCTGCCACTAGATCTGGTAGGATATTTTCTGAGATGTCTGTTTTCTAGATTCAGTTCTTCTGCTGGGAATGCGGACAGGCACATCAACTCTTTTTAAGATGAATGACCGCTGCATAATACTACAAATCTTTCTTCCTTAGAGCCTGGTCTGCCATGGATGGTCTTACTGGGACTCACTGGGAAGCAGGGCACAGCACTGCAGTGGATTCCCTCTAACTATACTGTGTTTTTTCTTCTCTTGTTAAAATCTTTGAGTACTGTGGGCAATGAAACATCTTTCTGTGAAACTCTTTCTGGTAGGTATATAATCTTGTACTTTTTTTTTTTTTTTTTTCCCCTACAACAGGTTTACTCTTTGTAGTATACTCAATTAAATGTCAGGTAAGACCATTACAATACTGAAATGTAATTAAATTGTATTATTTCAACAAAACATGTATATGTAAAAATGGTGTCTCTTTTCCCTTAGGATTTTTTTTTTGTGTGTGTGATGGTGCCTTAGCTTTCTGTCTAGTCATAGATAGCAGGAAAACAATTGAAATATCTTTCTGTTATAGTAACAAAAGAACTGTGAAGGGTTTAAAAACTTGGGCTTTCCCTCTTCCCCATGGACACACTTCTTTCTCAACCATGCCAGAAATGGACTTCTCACAAGACTGAGGTTAAAGAGTCCTAGAAGTATTTGGACTAATACAGCCAGGCTTCCAATGGATTTGTGGATCATGGTTGGCTGACTTCTTAATTATATTAGACTAGGAATATAGTTTGACCACAGACCATGCTAGATATCCAAAAGAAGAAGAAAGGGAAAAGTAGGCAAGGGAACTGGAGGAGAGAGACCATGAATACTCCAGCCAAAACGAGCTTGAAAATAAGTCTTTCAGATGTTTGAAAACTAATGAGTAAAATTTTGACCTAAAAGCAAAGTCTCTGGCATGAATAGGATGTTAATTCTGATCTAGTTTTCCCCAGTAGATATTCTGTGATGTTTAAATTGCTGAGCTAATGATGCAGCCTTTCATGTGGTACAAGCACTTAAAGATCCCTACTTCTTTGCTTTCTGCCTCCATGTGCTATTTTGGAGCTTTGGTACATCTACAGTGTCAGCTGAAAGTGTTAGTGATCTCAAAAGTCACTAGGAAAGGACGGATGTATTAATTCTGAACCCATAATTCCTCTTTTGTTAGGAAACATCTATTTTGTTCTTTTCATAGTTTCTTAAGCGTTTTAGTTGAAGAATATGTTTTTCAATATAAGTTGGATAATATATTTTTTTTTCCTAGAATTTGTACATCCTATATTCATTTTTACTGGAAACTTATGCCTTAACAACTTGATTAATAGCTATGAATCTGACAGATTTTCACGATTCTGCTCTGCTAAAGTTAGACATAGGAGGACCATTTGTAGCAGATGTAGTTGATCCTCAAACAGAGGAATACATTGTAGTACAAATCAGCCAGACTGAAGACGCTGGATCAAGGAGGAGACGCCAGCAGCAGGTGATGGTCTTTTAAATTGTCTTTAGTTTTTTCTGAGGTGTGTTTTATCACTTTTGTTTCCATCACCATTGTGTGATTTCAGTGGTTGTGCTTTTCCCTGTTGTGAGGTGTGTCAATGTCAGCATTAGAAAACTTACTCTTGTAAGAGTAAAGTTACATTTTATTTTGTCTTTATAAGAATTCCTTTAGCTTTCTATATTAAAGTTTTGTAAAACTTATGCCCCTTGACTGACACTTAGCATGGAAGTTCTTGTGTTTAAAATTGGCAACATTTCAAAAGTTGTCTTAGAAGGAAGAAACAAGTGTGAAGTGTCTTTTTGCACTCACAGAAATACTTTTTTCACATTTTGTTGCAAATTATTTTCTCTAATGTGTCACGTTTATTCACTTTACTTCTCTTAAGACTTTCTCATTGTTGATGTTGTTTTTAACAAGTTCCTGCTGCTCTCTCCCAGAGAACCTGGTATAATCACTGAAAAATAAAAATAAGCCTCATCATTTCATAAATAGCATTGACATACAAACAACTGCCTCTCATTCTGTATATGTGACAGGTTGGTCTGCCTCTACCAATGATAGCACAGCTGAATAATGCCAATAGTATTCCCACTTCTACCCAATCTCACAGTCTACAAAAGAGCAGTCCTGCTACCTCAGCATTGCGAGCAATACTGTGATGGTAATTACTTTCTTAAACCACCCAGCCCCATGATGAGGAGACTGCTGTAACTTGTGCTGGTGGCAGTGGTCACCAAGGGACCTTTAGGCTGCTGTGGGGAAGCCAGCACACCTCCTGCTGGCACACCAGCGGTGGGCCTGACTTGATCAAAGAAGCAGGTAGCCAAAATAACCTTCCCTGCGTCCATGATCCTCGCACGTCTCTCTCTGTCATATGTTCCAAGTTGACTGATTAAGCTGGGTATTTGTCTTCACTTTGTAGTGTACAGGGTCAGGACAAGCTCAGGATTTAGCCTACAATTAACCAAATTTGATAGGTTTTTTTAACTTCCTTTTCTTTAAAAAAGAGAGAATATCTGTATCTACATTTAAAGAGTATATTTGGCTAGACTTGCCTGAATATCAGTGTGTAGTAATGGACAAAGTTTCAGAGAGTATTTATTTTCAGAAGATTTTTTGTTTCCTTTTTTTTTTTTTTTCCTAGAAGATCAGCAAACAGGAAATTTGTTTGCTGAAATTCTACCATGTCTTCTTCATAATGTCTGGAGGTATGATGTTGCTCCTGGGCCTTTCATTGTCTATACCTCATGTGTGTTAGTTTTCCTCCCAGGTAGTCTTTGGGAGTGAACCATATCGTTGTCTCTAAGTCTAGGTGCCCTAGATGCTCCTTATAGTCAATGCAAAGTGTGACTGGCCTTCCTGCTGTGGAGCACCTCCTGAAGGTGTCTCTCAATTCATTGGTTGAGTGAGGTGATAAGGGTGAGTTTACTCCAACCTGAGCACTGCTAACATACCTAATCAGGAGGAATTAATTTAGGCTGGTGTGTGTTATGCCTTGTCCACAAAAAAATTCTTCTAAATGGACAGAAGAGAGAAGAATAAAACCCTAGATCAGAGATGCATGATTTTCACTGGCTTTTATTAATATTGCCAAATGTGACTCTCTTGCAGGTGGTATACAACTGGTCTCTACCCTTAAGCTCAAGAAGAAATCAGCAAATCATCACAACTAGAACTTTCCAGATACTAAGCAGGTCAGCTAAGAGACTGAGAAATGATCTGTTGAAGTAGTAGTTTCCATACACTTGACTGTGAAGGAATAGATAATGTTTTAAAAATAATCTATCACTTCCTGTTTCAGAAGGTCAGGAAAGGATGACTTCTTCTTGTTTTTTTAAGTGGTTTCGCAAGCCTGGGTTGTATTTGAGTTACTTTCCAAACAATGCTATTTAGAAGGATAGACTGAAAATGTTTGAAAAGTTGCTTGCAACTGTAAAGATATACTGTATATACATGTATTTATAGGTACTCAATATTTAAATTAATGCAAAAATAAAACTAATGATATTTCATTCCAAAAATAAGCAGAACTTCTCTTTCTTTCATCAGAGGCACCATTTTCATAAACATTCAAGCTTTCCTACGGGAACCTGGAAGCGTTCCTCTCTCCATGACGCATCAATACCTTCATGCAAATATAGAGGCACAAGTAACAATTGCATCCATCATCTTAGTAGGTGTCTATGTGCTGATCATACTGGAGGTAAGTAGTGTTTTGTATTTTGATTTTATTTTTCCCTTACATTGTAAATGGTGCACAAGGAAGGGTTTCATTCTTGGGCTTTAATAAACTTTAAAAATGTGTATATGAATCGTTGCTGTACCATCAGTGCGGCTAATGGAATGAGTGAGATATGTGCAAGGAAATTGTTCCGAATTTTAACTGATTTTGGCAAGTTATATTAATGTTACAGTGATCTTGTGTATTTTTTCTATTAGGACCTATTAGTATTTTAATGTTTTAACAGGATTATAGTTTGCCCGTGAGAGTGAAAATAAGTCTGAGTTGTAAAAGGTGAGGAAAAATCTGTTTTTAGCATGCTTTTTAATGAGTGACATTAAAAAACTCTCATTAAAAAGCACATTTTTTAATGAATGACATTTAGAAATCCTTTTACTGTATTTATTTAAGAGAAAACAGAGCCTGAGTTAACATGAGGAAGTCAAGGAACAGGGAACTTTAAACATATATTGCAACGTCATTCCAAAGCCTTGAGGTTCCAAACCCAACAAAAATGCATTGCATCAGCATTAAGGATGAAAAACATGTCAGAAAGAGCACAGGGCTCCAGCTGACTTTTTTTTTAACTGAAACACTGTCTGATTATCTTGAAATAAACTACAGATATGGGGGAAGGGGGGGGCATTTTTTTGTTTGTTTTTTTAATTCATGTGAGCACCCACACTGTTTGAATTCTCCAAATTGAATGACACCTGATTTACACTAGTATGAAACACAGAAATGAATCAAATCAAGTCTACAAGGTGCTCCTTAGTAAATATGTCCAGCATGCTCATTTGTATTCCTCACCCCTTGCGTATTTTAAGCTTTTAATCCTGTTACCTGCTGAAATGGTAAGATCAACACGTTCTAATAAAATATCAATAATGGGCACACACAAAATGACGGATACTTTAGACATTTAGATTATGTCATGCAGCAATGGTGATTTATTTATGAAGCTAAAAATGCCTCTATGTACTTTATAAATGAGCAAAGAGATATAATATTAAGTGTGGAGGGAGATTTGAGTAGATTTTACTAAAAATATATGTAGGCATGCAGTACAACACCAAAATAATCTTAATTCTTTTAAATGCAGCTTTTATTTTCAAAAAAACCCCAGCTGTGCAACCCTTTTAACAACTGCAAAAACATCGGGTTTTTAATGTATGTAAAGCGTGGTTTAATGTTTGCATCTTAGAAAGCTGCTTTGGAACAATTAATGTGTCAAAAGAAATAAAGACTTGAAACTGAAAAGCAAAGCCAAGGAAAGCATACATTTTCCTGTTGTTTCTAAGAAAAAGCTTTAAAACCACCCACTAGCGTAGTATTTCTGTGAAAAATCTAGGAAAAATTTCTGTTGTTGGCAGAAATGTTATTTCTGCAAATTCAAAGGTAGAAATAGATATTTATAAGTAAGCTTTATTGAATTTTAAAATGTGGAAAGTCACCTATTGCATCATCATATTAGCTGTTTTCTCCATAACAGCTGTAGGAATGACAAATGCTGCAACCACACTAAATATTAAACTATAAATATATAAGCTGGAAATAACTATCATAGAAACAAAACTTGGCTGTTTTTTGGTTCCCTCATGGATCCCTTGCAAGAGCTGGATGTTAATATTGTTAGAACATTGTTGCAGTTGTTATCCCGCAATGTCCCGTTGGTTCGAGGAGGCACAGAGACAAACACTCACCCCGTCTCTGGGCCAATGAGCACTGACACCAATATGAGGATGCTGCAAATGGCGTTTAATGCTGTGCGACACAGTACTATATGGTGTGGGTTCACTACGTCACTTCCACCTGCTTACATCACAGGCTAAATGCTATTGGCTACTAGGAGAGAGAGGGGGGTGTCTTACCTTTCCGTACAGCCCGATATCTTCCGGCCGCCAGACCCTATCTTACTACAGAATATAAAATAGTGGCTTATCTTATGTTCAGTCTTTATAACTTTAGTACCTGCAATCCTGCTTTCTCAACACATTGCACTCTCTATTCCATTAGCAGTTATCACTGTTAAGAGAAATCAATCAGTGTTGCTGCAGGAGCGCTCCCTCTTGGATTTTCATTTTCAGTGTTGCTGCTCCCCATTTTTTTATCAGTCTTTACTAGTTTCCTGTGTTTTATTCATTATCATTGGCAACACATGTTCAACTTCAGATAGCGTGGACACCCAAACAAGTTTTAGAGATATATTTTCTTATAACAATGAAGAAAGAGGAAGCACTTCATCTGTTACAACTCATAAGAGCTATCTGAAGGTGTGCCTCTTGCTCCTCCTGCACATCCCTTTTCCCCAGACGTGGACTGTAGATCTTGTGCCCACAACCTCCTCAGCTCCACTGTCCTCATCTTTTAATCCTTCCTTCCTCTTCTCCACTTGTCCTTTGCTGTCTTAGTCACCAGGGTTTGTGCAGGAGGGCTGGCTGCAAAAGCTTCTGCCTCCTGCAGATACAAATGGTGGAAAAAGCTGATGAAGAGGTTCAAGTTGGAAAATGAAGTGCATTTACTGTAAACTCTGACCTTTTAAAAACTTGCACCACTATAAAGATCCAGGGTAAATTCTACTTTGGGGCAGCTGTTTGCCTCTACGTTGGCATCAAATTTCTAGGAGGCCAATATATGTCAAGAACCAGTTCTTGTTGGTGGAGAAATCTTACTGTCTCAGGATGTCAGAAAATATGTTAAACTGTTGAGCGGCGTTTCTTCAGGCACTTATTTTAAGTGTTGTTTCTTTTGAAACTGATTGTGTGTTACAAATTCTGGTAAAAGAAGATGCTTCTTCTTCCACTTAAATTTCTGATTATTGCTTTTTTATGTTTATCACAACTATGAATATTTTCTTATTTCACAATACTACTTTGTCCCTTGAAATTTTGGTATAGTTGCTTTTAACTCTCTTTGATGGACATCACTTAGTTACATTTTCTGTTTGAAATCTATAAGGTTGTTTCTTCGCCTCCTCCCACCCCCCCATATAATCATCCTTTCCTTCAGTAACAAGACATTAATTCTCTTGAAATTGGTTTTCTTCAAATATTGATCAGTTCCCTCTTTGCATTTCAGTCTTCTGTTCCCTCCCCTCCTCCCAGAGGAGAAAGGAGAAAAAAATTATGTTTCTTGTGGCATTTTTGAGTTAATCTAATCTATACTATTTTATAGACTTGTTGAAAACAATTAAGTAATTAATTTTGTTCTTGGAAGCCTACATTGCACAGGAATTTAAAACAAAAATATGTTTAAAAAAAAAAGTGCCAGGTTTACCTTTGTTGATCTCAGCTCTATTGTCTGACCCGTTAGGATTACTGAGGAACATAAATAAGATGGGCTATAAGTATTTTTTCACGTTGGTCTACAGGGACATCTGGTGTAAAATGCAAGTGTCCAGAGTTCTATGCTGAAGTTGCTTAACTCCAAACCTCTTTGTTCTTTCAGCTAAGAGTGCATTTTGTCTTTTGCCTTCTTTGATTTCCTTTCTTTTTCCAGCAAAGCCTTTTTTCTGTGTGTATAACTAAAGTGACTATTTACACCCCATTCACTTAGATTCAGTAATGGTTTCTGGTGGTACAGCATAGTCAAGGAAAAGTAATGTCGATAAAATCTCATTGTTTTCTCTTTGCAATACAGTAGGATATCTTTTATTTCTCCCCTTTTGCCTGTATTTGTGTACACAGAGACTGGGATAATAAGCAGGTTATTCTGAAAACAAATCTGTCTGCTTACCTGTATCTTAAAATATCTGTTAATATCATCAGGTTTTATTGGTATTTAGAAAAGTTTCTTGAGTTGATAAAGCTCTTATTATTAATTATTAACTGCATATTTGCAGCTAGGTTGGAACTGCATTAATTAGAAATATGTAAGGAGGAATGTTACACATTTACTATTTGAGGACAGAGCTCATTAATTTGAATTAATTATTGTGTGCACTTGTCCAACATTTTCCTTAATATTTTTGTTTTGTATTGTGGGTTAAAATGGAGTGTTAGCTGTTTATGATACTTAAATAAGCCAGCAGAAACAAGTGTAAAGGTAATGGCCTTTTAAAAGCTATTTTATGAAACATTTTATTTAGTCAGGAGAGAAAGCTGAATAACATTCATTTTAGTAAATAATAATAATAATAATAAAAGATATACCAATAGCATATCAAATGGTAGAAAAGTGATATCAGCAAGTATCAGAAATTCTATGAGACCCTCCACAGGACTCTTTTATTCGTAGGAGTCATCATTTAGTTTCATATCATGTCCTGTAGGTAGCCCTAAGACAGATCTTGCCAGGATCTTTCAAATGGCTTTTTAATGATGTGACATATTGAATAACATTTGCATATCTGTAATTTTCCTTAAAACACAAATACTTGAAAGTAAAAGATCTCGGGTTAAAGGGACTAGCTTCTTACTAGCATGAAGCATGGGCTTATAACCACAATTTTTATTACTTTAATGGAAATGGAGAGTGTCAGTTTATCTCCATATTACATTTCTATTATTAACTAGCTTAAACTATGAATAAACATAGCTTAAGCTTAATTTCTTTAACTCAAAGCAGAGTGATTTTTAATAGCATCTAACCAGCAGAAATTAACTGCAGACAGCAAAACTTTTATGTAGTTCAGTCTGCTGATTTTTCTAGCGTAGGCTGTTTAAACCAACGTTTCCTCACAGGAAGTATTTTTACAAATAAAATAAGATGTTTGTTATTACTGTTCACATAGTCCAGTTTTTCCTTATTTCCAGATATGAGGCTATTTACACATGGAAAATGATGCTTCAGAAAAGGAATAGGAAAACAGAAGAAAAATTCACTGGTGTATGAAACATAAGACTAAGTTATGGCAATAGGCTAATCTTAAGGGAGAATTTTTACGATGAGGAAAGTCACAGAAACCAGTGAGCAGCTTACTCAGCATGGTTTCTCACTCCCCATCCATTCTCATATTGATCTGTCTTTAAATACAGACAGAG